AGTGTGGGGAGCCACATTAAAAAGGTTCTTAAATGTTTGATGCACGAGTTTAAATGTTATTCTGCAGTTGGTCACGAATCCGTGGTGCAATCCTCAATTGGATGGAAGGGGAGAAGGAAGAGAACAGAATATCAGCATCATAGATGGAACTCCTCCAAACTAATTATGGTCTCCCATTCTACAGTTGAGAACCATTGCTATAAGACAACAGCACTCAGATATACCCTTAAAGGCAGAGAAAAGCTCCACTGGGATTTAACAGAAGCAAAGTGGTAACTATAAGAAAGCAACACTCTCACTCTGTAGCTTCGTATTCACCTCTTTGTTATTCAATTTTGACAGCCTCGGGACTCCCCCACCCCCACCCCCGGCCCCCCCCCCCCCCACCCCCCCCCCCCCCCCCGCCAACATACTTTTCTCCTTCATTCTCTTTAGCTGAACAACAACTCAGAAAATCTTTTTCTTTGTATTTCCATGGCTCAGTGGAGACAGATTGACATTTTCCAAAATTACATTAGAAACTACTAGGAGAAATAAAACAAGAAGATAAGAATAGCACAAAATGAGTCAAAATTTCCCAAATAAAGATTTGGGGTCCAAAGTTCCCTAAGATAGGTAAGGTCATCAAAGCAGTGAGCCTGAGAGGTTCTGCTGTTCAAGAAGCATCTTCCAACCGGGAACCCCAATCTCTACATAAAAGGATGCAACTACATGGAGCTTACAACTTTTACTAAAAGCCTCTTTCCTCTCCGATTTTCAGGCAACCCAAAATTCCCAGGAGCTTTTTCCCTGTCCTACCTGAGAAGCCACTCTCTCATCCATGCTGTCTAGTCCCACTATCCTTCCCCCTTGACTATTTATCCTTTCCACAAACCAACACACACATCACTTCCTTAAATATCACAAAGTCTGTGCTACAAACCACTATACCAATACACTTCGGTCTCCCTCTCATTCTCATTCTGTCTCTCTCTCTCTCTCCTTTCCCTTTTCAACCTGCACTTTTTTTTTTTTTGAAAACTCTGTTGCAAGAAAGAAAAGACCAAAAGCTGTGAATGTCATACTTTCACCTGAGAGTCACTCTTTCCAGTTCTTCATCTGACTCTAAGCTATGTGGTCACCAAGCTCTGCCTACTCTTCAGCACCCAGGAAAAAATGCCAATGTTCACAAATCCAACCTTATTCTTTTTCAAACCTCCCTTATCTGCTTGAGGCTTATGGCCAAGCTCCAAATCCCTGATGGAAGTACATACTACTTCACACATGAAGAAGGGCAGTGGTGACTGGAACCTCGAACACACAGTGAATGATACAGGTCATGTCCCCAAAGCCACCTGCTCTGCCACCCCTGAAATAACCCGCTCAACATAGTCTTCCTCCTCTCCTCCCAGCACGTCTACCATGTACGTGGAAAAGATATTATCATAGAATTCCACAACATAACAATTCCTTAACTTTAGGAATTAGCTGAAAGAAAGCTGGCAAACATTGAGAAGAAGGAAATAAGAGAGAAACTTAGGTAACTTGGTGGCAAAGGTCTGTTCAGAAAAGGCCCTCTAAATTTTTATGAACTTCCCTTCAGTGGACTTTTTCAGCAAAACGTATTAGAAAGTTATAGGAACTACAATGTCATCAGGAACTCTTAGTATTCACCTGGAAGTGAGGACAAAGTAGAGTGTCCTGCAGAAGACTGTAGTACTTGCAGCCAAGTTGAAAAGGGAACTCAACTCTTGTGGTGGATCATTTCCAAAGATGACCACCAAAAATCCCCTCCATCCCTGAACACACATACCACTCCTCACATCAAGAGGTGGAGCGTACTTTCCCCTGGACCGGTTTTATAACTTGCTTGGGTCAGCAGAATGACACAAAAGTGACATTCTAGTACTCCTAAGAACTACAAGAACTTCAAGGCCTTAAGAAGAGTTATAGTTTCTGCTTTTGTGTTTTTGGGAATCACCTGACAGGTTAAAAAAGCTCAAGCTAAATCACTAAATAAGAAGAGAGAGGCCTGGCCAGCCCCCAACCATTCCAGCTGAGGCCAGACGTGTATTTGATACCATGTTAGACCTTCTCACCCCATCTGAGCTCCCAGCTGAATGCAGCCAGCACCACATCTAGGAGAAGAACTGCCTAGTGGAGCCCAGCCCACTCACAGAAACCATCAGAAATAGGAAGTTGTGGGGCACCCGGCAGGCTCAGTCGGTTAAGCATCCAACTCTTGATCTCAGCTTGGGTCATGATCTCATGATTCATGAGTTCAAGCCCCTGTCAGGCTTTGTCTCTGCCCTTTTGTGCTCATGTGCATTCGCTAGCCCTCTGTCAAAAGAAATAAACAAACTTAAACAAAATAAATTTAAAAAAAAAAATAAGAAGTTGTTATTGTCTTAAGCCACTAAGTTTTGAGGGAGTTTGTTACACCGTAATACAGATAACTGGGATCTGTTTAACAATTCAACCCATCTCAAAGTTATCAACAAATCTAGATCCCAGATAACCTCTTAATTTGTCCACTTTTTATGTATGAACGGTCCTTTTGTTACTTGAGTCTTCTATATTGATCTCAACCATGAATTCCAGACAGTTCTGATTTCAAATATTATATCCCATAGTTCCCATAAGAATAGTTGAAGTTATTAGGGCTTACTTTGAGTTCAGAAACTCTGGCCACTTTATCTATATTATTTCCTTAATATAGTTAATGTTCTAACTTCCTCTTTGATTCTGAAGATACTCTGCATTTTGTTATTGGCCCGAATTTTAAATTTTACTTTCAAAATGTCCAGTGTCTGTATTTGCTGTGATACTTTCCCTTTGAAAGTGTTTTGCAGGTTTATTCATGCTTTTCAAATGTAAATTCAATGTGAGAGCAATGTGTATTCAGACAATAGTATTCATCAGATGTCACCACTGAAATGAAAGGATTTTCAAAATATTCAGCTCTAATCCTTCTCTTCCTTACTCTACAGAATCTGAGACTTAATCAGTGCCAGTGACTTCAATTAGCATATGTAAAATGATGACCCACAAAGCTAGACTTCCCCTTTGGACTTCTCTCCTGAGATTCAGATATAGTTCCAAATGCCCACCAGCTATCTCCACTTGGATGCTCCACAGGCTTTGAAACCTCAGTAGCTCCAAATGAAATTCACTGACTCTCAAAACTTACTCCTTTTTTTTTTTTTTTTTAATGTTTATTTATTTTGAGAGAGAGCACAAGCAGGGGAGGGGCAGAGAGGCAGGAGGCAGGGGGGGTGGGTAGAGAATGAATCTCAACCCGGCTCTGCACTATCAGCCCAGAGCCCAATACGGGCTCGAACTCAAAACACCAGATCATGACCTAAGCCAAAATCATGAGTCAGACGTTTAAACGACTAAGCCACCCTGGTGCCCCAAAACTTATTCTTCCTTAATCCTTCAGTTACTGAAAGACACCAACATTGTTCCAGAAATCTGGTATATGGGTCTCCCCACCAGACCAACAGCCCTAAGTCCCATTCATCTCCGTATCTCCAAATCCTAGCACAGGACCTAGTATATTATAGCACTTGCTAAGCATTTTTTTCAATTAATAATTAAATAAAAACTGGTTCATTATGGTTCTGGTTACCCCAATAAGAAAGATTGGCCCTTGTCTGACCCAACTAAATGTGTCAATACTTTCAGCACCATCTAGTTGCGTCCAAGGCAAGACTTTGTGAAGGACCTTATCACCACCAGCATAAAGAGTGAAAACAAAGTGAGCCACCATAGGCCACATATGCTTGGGAAAATCTTAGCCTCAATATGCCCATGATGTACAGCCTTTTTTACCAGGACTAACAAAGTTCATTTGAACAGGTTACATGATGGACCCACTGCCTCAATTCCCAAGCCCCTAGTGGACTGGCACTCTGGTCTAAGCAAAGCATATCACCTTCCTAATTACAGGAATGAGAGACCTTTTCCTGGTCATTCATGCTGCCATGTCCCCAATGTATTCTTGTGCTTCACAGCTTCACAATATCAAATGGCTCTACCTTTTGAAAAACAAGCTTTTAACTTGATTCTGTTTCTGGTTGAAAATTTGAGCCAGTTCCAAGAATTCAATGTCAACTCAGTTCAAATCTATGGTTTCTTTTTTTTTTTTTATTTAAGTTTGTTTATTTATTTATTGGGGGGGGGGGGGACTTGCAGAGAGAGGAGAGAGAGAATCCCAAGTAGGCTGTATGCTGACGGTATGAAGCCCGATATGGGGCTCAATCCCACGAACAGTGAGATCATGACCTGAGTTGAAATCAAGAGTCGGACACTCAACCATCTAGGCCACCCAGGGGCCCCAAATCTATGGTTTCTTTTTTTTATTTTTTTTTAACATTTATTTTTGAGAGAAAGAGAGAGACAGAGCACAAGCAGGGGAGGGGCAGAGAGACAGGAAGACACGGAATCCGAAGCAGGCTCCAGGCTCTGAGCTGTCAGCACAGAGCCCAATGTGGGGCTCAAACTCACGAACCACAAGATCATGACCTGAGCTGAAGTCGGACACTTAACCAACTGAGCCACCCAGGCACCCCATCTTTAAGGCACTGTGTTGTAGACATTAAGTGCTCTTTGTTGTTGGGTCATGTATACAAACCCAAATCCAGCCTGGCTCATTATGTTCCCCTTTCTCTCTGTGTAGCTCTGTAAGTCCAACCTGCTTCAAAGCCAAACCACTCTGGGTCATACGCATTTTGAGTGTGTCTTTGTAGCCTAAATGTCTTTCATTCTCTTCGTACGGTCATGAGTGACAGCTTTGTGGTCAATGTATTTTTTTTAATGTTTATTTATTTTTGAGAGAGTGACACAGAGTGCAAGCGGTGGAGGGATAGAGAGGGAGGGAGACACAGAATGCAAAGCAGGCTCCAGGCTCTGAGCTGTCAGCACAGAGCCCGACAGGGGGCTCAAAATCACAAACTGAGATCATGACCTGAGCCTAAGTTGGACACTTAACTGACTGAGCCACCCAGGTGCCCCTGTAGTCAATATTTTTAAGATTTATGTCTATGATAACTGCTTTTATATTTCAGATTAATTTATAGCATCTTAATAAGTTATTTGATCTAGCAATTTCTTTGTGAAATCAAGCACATCATCACATATGCATGAGATATCTGCTGGGTTTATAATTCTAGACTCTTAAAAGTAACTCTATTTTTCATTCAAATATGTTTGCTTTTCTGGAGTTTTGGGTGATTATAATGGGTTCATTCAAAATATTCATTCTTGCTTTTCCATGCTGATAGTGCTCTCAAAACATGGTGAACATTCCTAAAACCTGCTGGACTCTCTGTAAGAAGTGTGGCAAGTACCAACAACACAAAGTGACACAATACAAGAAGGGCAATAATACTCTGTATGCCCAGAGAAAGCAGCATTATGACAGGAAGCAGAATGGCTACAGTGAGCGGATTAAGCCGATTTTCTGGAAAAAAACAAAAACAACAAAGAGGGTTATGCTGAGGATTGACTGTATTGAACCCAACTACAGATGTATGAAAATGCTGGCTATTAAAAGATGCAAGCATTTGGAATTGAGAGGACATAAGAAGAGAAAGGGCCACATGATCCATTTCTAAGCTTCATATTTCACTTTATTATGAAGACAATAAGATCTTGAGGTTATGTTCAAACCAAAATAAAAAAAAATACTCTTTATTAAAACAGCACTTCCCATTTTTATAAAATTTGAATAAAAAAAGGAAATTTAATCTCCTTGAAAACAATGCTGGCATTAAAATTCATTATATTCATTTACATAATTATGGGGAAAACTCAGCAAAAACTACCAATCTATTTAACATCTTGAGTTTGATGAAGCACATTAGAACATGAAACACAATACATTGGAACATGAATACACAGTCAAAAGACAGGTCCTTTCATTACCAGACTGTTAGACAACTTCGATAACAAATCTTATCACCCTCTCCTCATCCTTTACCTTTCCATACGTAGTCTACAAAACTATGCAATTGTAAACTGAACTAAACACATTAGCAGTTTACATGAGAATGGATAAAGCTCAAGTATCAGCAAATAACAACTGAGTTTAGCAAATGTTTTCATTAAATTTTAAAAGTAATCTTTAGATCTATAAATTTAATGCACTTCCTATCAAAATCCCAACTGCCTTTTTTTTTTTTGAAGTTAACAAACTGATACTAAAATTCATAAACCATAATAACCAAAACAATCTGGATAAAAAGAACAAATCTGGAGAATTCACACTTCCCAATTTCAAAATTTACTGCAAAGTTATAATAATCAGGACAGAACTGGCATATGGAGATAGATAGATAGATAGATAGACAGACAGGTAGATAGATAATGTTTTTAATGTTTATTTATTCTGAAGGGGGGAGGAGGTGCAGAGAGAGAGGGACACAGGATCCAAAGCAGGCTCTGTGCTGACAGCAGAGAGCCCAATGTGGGCTCACAAACCGTGAGATCATGACCCGAGCCTAAGTTGGACACCTAACTGACTGAGCCACGCAGGTGCCACATGGTCAAGTGATTTTTTACAAGAAATAGCAAGACAATTCAGTGGAGAAAGATAGTCTTCTCAACAACTGGTGCTGGGACAACATGCAAAAGAGTGATGCTGGATCCCTACACTCTATGGAAAATTAACTTAAAATGGATCATAGACCTAAATGTAAAAGCTAAACCTACAAAACACTTAGAAGCAATCATAAGAATACATCTTTATGCCCTCTGGTTAGGAATGATTTCTCAGATAGAACACCAAAAACACAAGGGACAAAAGAAAAAATAAATCAGACATCATCAAGATTAAAAATTGTGTACTTTAAAGGACACCATCAAAATAGCAAAAAGACAACCCACAAAATAAAACATTTGGAAAAGACATATCTGACTGGTATCCAGAATATGTAAAAAAAGCTCTTACTACTCGATAATAAAAAGACTAATAACTAAAAACATGGGCAAAGGATTTGAATAGACATTTTTCCAAAAAAGATATACAAATGACCAATAAACACATGACATGATGCTCAAGATCATTAGTCATCAGGGAAATACAAATCAAAACCACTATGAGATATCACTTCATACCACAAGGATAGCTAAAATCAAAAAGATGGACAATAACAAGTGGTGTAAAGGATATGGAAAAAATTGGAACCCTCATACACTGCTGATGTTAATATAAAATGCTTAATATAAAATACTTATTCTTCAAAAAGCTGAAAATTGTATTGTCATATGATCCAGAAATTTTACTCCAAGGTATATTTCCAAGAGAAATGAAAACATAAGTCCACATAAAAACTTGCACACAAATGTTCACAGCCCTATATCAAAATGACCAAAAAGTGAGATACCTGGGTGGCTCAGTCAGTTGAGCATCCGACTCCTGATTTCGGCTCAGGTCATGATCTCACGGTTGTGAGATGGAGCCCTGCATCGGGCCCTGCATCAAGCCCTGCATCTGGCTCTGCACTGGGCGTGGAGCCTGCTTAAGATTCTCTCTTGCCCTCTGCGCCCCCCCCCCCCGAATAAAAAATAAAAAAAATTTTTTTAAGATAACCAAAAAGTGGAAACAACCTAAATGCCCATTAACTGATAAATGAATTAAGATTTGGTACATCCACTCTTTAGCATTCTTGGGCCCAATTCCAATATGTGCGTTGGGGGGGGGGGGGGAAGGGAGGAGGGTTCCCACAGAACACTAAGCAATTCTTAGACACCCTGCTGGTACTCAATTGAGTTCTAATGTTATGGAAACTGATCTGGATCACCCTGCAGAAGAACCAAGTGGCACTCAGAGATCTTGGAAGGCAGGAGGTTTATTTTACACCAGTGGGTTCAGAGGAGATCATTCTCCAGAGATCTGAGCCCAGAGCATCAACAGAGGGGACCATTTATAGTCTGTTACTTCCGAATCCCTCATTAGTAGTAATTTGGCACCTGTGGCAAGCAGGGTAGGAAGAAAATCCCAGAAGGGGTGTCTTCTGACAAGGACTGGAATTCCCCTATCAGTCCTGTCGGCCATCTTATAACAGATTTTTCCCTAACACTACCTACCCCAAGATAGCTTCAGATTCCACAGGTTAAGTGTTCAGTCCTGCCTCCCCACCCAATTCAGACAGCATTTGCAACCCCAGGTCGTTATCTATGCTTCTGACCGACTGGCTACAGATTGGAGGCTCTAACAATCCCCTCCAACCCAGGATGCCAATCGCCAAGTCTGAGTTGTTCCAGGTACATCTGACCAACTGGCTATAAATTAGAGGCTTCCATAACTTGCTCAGAAGTTAACTGAAAGAGGTTTAATTAATTTGCTAGAGCAGCACATAGAACAGAGCAAAATATTTTTTTTTTTACTAGATAGCCAGTTCATTATAAAAGGATGTAACTCAAGTGCAGCCAGATGGAAGAGACGCATGGGGAAAGGGTGCAGAGTGACCATGCTCTCTCCAAGCTTACCACTCTCACAGCACCCCTGCTTATTCACCAGCCCAAAAACTCTCTGAACCCTGCACCTCCTTTCAGATTTTCATGAAGGCTTCATTATACAGGCATGAACAATTAAGTCACTGGCTATTGCCAATTGATTCAACCTCCATGGCCTCTCCTCTCCCCAGAGATCAATGGGTGGGACTGAAAGTTCCAACCCTCCAATCACATGGTTAGCTTCCCTGGCAACCAGCCCTCATCCTTAAAGGTTTTCCAAAATCCACCTCATTAACATAACAAAGGACAGCCACCTTTATCATTCTCTTCACTTAGGAAATTCCAAAGTTGTAGGAGCTCTGTGCCAGAAATGGGGGATGAAGACCAAATATATATCTATTACAAATCACAATACCATTTCCATACAATGGACTATTATTTGGCAATAAAAAGAATAAAGTACTGATAGGTAAACTTTGAAAACATTATGCCAAGTGATAAATGATACAATTCAGTCACAAAACACATACTATATGATTCCATTGATCTGAAATGTCCAGAATAGGCAAATCCATAGGGACAGAAAGTAGATTAGTGGTTCCTTAGGGCTGGTGTGGGGGTGGGGGGTGAGAGACAGACTGGGGTAGGAGTGGGGACTGACTGTTAATAGGTTCCAGGTTTCTTTTAGGCAGAATGAAAATTAGATTGTGATTATGGTTGCCCATCTTGTGAATATAACAAAAAAAAATCATACACTTTACATAGGTGAATTCTATGGTATGTGAATTATATCTCAATATAGCTGTCAAAAAATTAAAAAATAAAAGTAATCATCCCACCTCATGTCAAAATTCATTATGAAACCTGAATTGGGGAGCCTGAATTAAGAAAGTTTTATGAACTGCCTTTTTCCCCCTCAATAGTTTTGATCTGTAGCTGAACATTTTGTAACTGAAATGCCTGCTAAATTAATCCTATTTCTCTCCCCAAGGCAAATTTCATCAAATTTCCCTTCGATTCTTCTTTCCCCAATAAAGACCAGTATTTTTGTACTTAAAAGATGCAATTCCCAAATGACTCATCACTTATCTCCTGGGTAGCAAGCAGTTTTGCCACAAGAAACCATTTTTCCTTTGTTTCAGAAGACCTGGCCAGTCTGCAATCTACATTCTGCTTCCTAATAGACTGCCCAGAGAATATTTCTTTACTTCTATCGGGAAAATTTGTAAAAAACTTTGAAATGGACCAAACAAAATTATTTTCTGGGTGTCCCATCTGGTGCACCCTTCCAGGTTATCTGATTCCATGGGAGCTCAGGCCTTTTAAGGTCTTTGAGCTATTTTACAACTCTGTAAATTGTTGAAAAATGATAATGATGTAAGTGATTCACATCCATCAAAATGCAAATGAATAGTTTAGTGGATGGAATAGATTATTGCCTGTGGATGCTGACCAGTTTTGCATCTGATAGGGAAAAATCTGTTATATGATGGCCAACAGGACTGATAGGGGAATCCCAGTCCCTGCCTGAAGACTCCCTTCCGGGGTTCTTCTTCCCACCCTGCTTGCCGCTCATGCCAAATTACTACTAATGAGGAATGCAGAAGTAACAGACTATAAATTGTCCCCTCTGCTTATGCTCGGGACTCAGACCTCTGGAGAATGATCTCCTCTGAGCTCACTGGTGTAAAATAAACCTCCTGCCTTTCAAGATCTCTGAGTGCCACTTGGTTCTTCTGCCGGGTGGTCCAGACCAGTTTCCATAACACATCTATTTCTAAATTCTTGGAAGTCTTGGGGCTCAGGGCAGGCTGCCCCAAGAAATGCCACAGCGGCATATTGATTGAGTTAAAGTTATTTCAGAAACAGCCAGTGCAAGAAGAACACTCTAACCCTCCTGTCCCTCCAGAAAGGAGGAAAGAATGTCTCATGTGAAAGGTACCCTTCCTGGACCAGGAGATAAAGAGACATCCTTATCATCAGAGATGGGAATTCAGAGCCAAAGAAGTTTATATAAACAAACCTCGTCACTTTATTTTTTTAATGTTTATTTATTTTTTGAGAGGTGGGGGGAGGTGCAGAGAGAAAGGGAGACATAGGATCTGCAGCAGGCTCTGTGCTGTCAACACAGAGCCCAACACGGGGCTCAAATTCATGAACCGTGAGACCATGACCTGAGCCAAAATGGGACACTTAACCGACGGAGCCACCCAGGCACCCCAAAAACCTTGTTACTTTAGCTAATTTATTAACCCAGCCTAAATTCTATTTAGAATTCCTTATTAATTGAAGCTCCCAAGTATAAGTTTGCTTTGTCCTAACAAGTCCTTACAGATCTTCATCTAATGTCTGCCTGCACCGGTCACTTGTGTTAAAAAGAAAATTTGGTCAAAATTTGGTCAAAATTTGGTCAAATTTTCCTCCATGACAGCAAATCAAGCCTATTACAGTTTCAACCTATCCCAGGAATGTGATCTTTTAAAAAGTCAATGTGAAATTTCCTGATGAGCACTTGCATGACAATATATTTTATTTCAATAATATATCCAAAATATTATTTCAACATGTAATCAATATAAAAATTATTAATGAGATACTTTCCCTTTTTTTTATTCATTTTTTTTTAATTTTTTTTCAACATTTATTTATTTTTGGGACAGAGAGAGACAGAGCATGAACGGGG